AACAAAACCCAAAGTTAGTAGAAGGAAAGAAATCATAAAGATCAGAGCAGAAATAAATGAAATAGAAACAAAGAAAACAATAGCAAAGATCAATAAAACTAAAAGCTGGTTCTTTGACAAGATAAACAAAATTGATAAACCATTAGCCAGACTCATCAAGAAAAAGAGGGAGAGGACTCAAATCAATAAAATTAGAAATGAAAAAGGAGAAGTTACAGCAGACATCACAGAAATACAAAGCATCCTAAGAGACTACTACAAGTAACTCTATGCCAATAAAATGGACAACCTGGAAGAAATGGACAAATTCTTAGAAAGGTATAACCTTCCAAGACTGAACAGGAAGAAACAGAAAATATGAACACACCAATCACAAGTAATGAAATTGAAACTGTGATTAAAAATCTTCCAACAAACAAAAGTCCAGGACCAGATGGCTTCACAAGTTAATTCTATCAAACATTTAGAGAAGAGCTAACATCCATCCTTCTCAAAGTCTTCCAAAAAATTGCAGAGGAAGGAACACTCCCAAACTCATTCTATGAGGCCTCCATCACCCCGATACCAAAACCAGACAAAGATACTACAAAAAAAGAAAATTACAAACCAATATCATGCATGAATATAGATACAAAAATCCTCAACAAAATACTAGCAAACAGAATCCAGCAACACATTAAAAGGATCATCCACCATGATCAAGTGGGATTTATCCCAGGAATGCAAGGATTCTTCAATATACACAAATCAATCAATGTGATACACCATATTAACAAACTGAAGAATAAAAACCATATGATCATCTCAATAGATGCAGAAAAAGCTTTTGACAAAATTCAACACCCATTTATGATAAAAACTCTCTAGAAAGTGGGCACAGAGGGAACCTACCTCAACATAATAAAGGCCATAATAAAGGCCACAGCAAACATCATTCTCAATGGTGAAAAACTGAAAGCATTTTCTCTAAGATCAGGAACAAGACAAGGATGTCCAACCTCGTCACTATTATTCAACACAGTTTTGGAAGTCCTAGCCACAGCAATCAGAGAAGAAAAAGAAATAAAAGGAATACAAATTGGAGAAGAAGTAAAACTGTCACTGTTTGCAGATGACATGATACTATACATAGAGAATACATAGAGATGCCACCAGAAAACTACTAGAGCTAATCAATGAATTTGGTAAAGTTGCAGCGTACAAAATTAATGCACAGAAATCTCTTGCATTCCTATACACTAATGATGAAAAATCTGAAAGAGAAATTAAGGAAACACTCCCAATTACCACTGCAACAAAAAGAATAAAATACGTAGGAATAAACCTACCTAGGGAGACAAAAGATCTGTATGCAGAAAACTACAAGACACTGATGAAAGAAATTAAAGGTGATACAAACAGATGGAGAGATATACCATGTTCTTGGATTGGAAGAATCAACATTTTAAAAATGCCTATACTACCCAAAGCAATCTACAGATTCAATAAATCCCTATCAAATAACCAATGGCATTTTTTACAGAACTAGAACAAAAAATCTTAAAATTTGGATGGAGACACAAAAGACCCCAAATAGCCAAAGCAGTCTTGAGGGAAAAAAACAGAGCGAATCAGACTCCCTGACTTCAGACTATACTACAAAGCTACAGTAATGAAGACAATACAGTACTCGCACAAAACCAGAAATATACATCAATGAAACAGGATAGAAAGCCCAGAGATAAACCCACGCACCTATGGTCAACTATTCTATGACAAAGGAGGCAAGGATATACAATGGAGAAAAGACAGTCTCTTCAATAAGTGGTGCTAGGAAAACTGGACAGCTACATGTAAAAGAATGAAATTAAAACATTCCCTAACACCATACACAAAAATAAACTCAAAATGGATTACAGACCTAAATGTAAGACCGGATACTATAAAACTCTTAGAGGAAAACATAGGAAGAACACTCTTTGACCTAAATCACAGCAAGATCTTTTTTGATCTATCCCCTAGAGTAATGGAAATAAAAACAAAAATAAACAAATGGGACCTAATGAAACTTAAATGCTTTTGCAAAGCAAAGGAACTACAAACAAGGCAAAAAGACAACCCTCAGAATGGGAGAAAATATTTGCAAATGAATCAATGGACAAAGGATTAATCTCTAAAATATATGAACAGCTCATGCAGTTCAATATTAAAAAAACAAACAACCCAATCCAAAGATGGGCAGAAGACCTAAATAGACATTTCTCCAAAGAAGACATACAGATGGCCAAGAAGCACATGAAAAGCTGCTCAACATCACTAATTATTAAAGAAATACAAATCAAAACTACAAGGAGGTATCACTTCACACCAGTTAGAATGGGCATCATCAGAAAATCTACAAACAATAAATGCTGGAGAGGGTGTGGAGAAAAGGGAACCCTCTTGCACTGTTGGTGGGAATGTAAATTGATACAGCCACTATGGAGAACAGTACAGAGGTTCCTTAAAAAACTAAAAATAGAACTACCATATGACCCAGCAATCCCACTACTGGGCATATACCCTGAGAAAACCATAATTCAAAAAGACACATGCACCCCAATGTTCATTACAGCACTATTTACAATAGCCAGGTTATGGAAGCAACCTAAATGCCCGTTGACAGATGAATGGATAAAGAAGATGTGGTACATATATAAAATTATTTATAATTTATGGCTGAATATTACTCAGCCATAAAAAGGAATGAAATTGGGTCATTTGTAGAGATGTGGATGGATCTACAGACTGTCATACAGAGTGAAGTCAGAAAGAGTAAAACAAATATCGTATATTAACGCATATGTGTGGAACCTAGAAAAATGGTACAGATGAACCTGTTTGCAGGGCAGAAATAGAGACACAGATGTAGAGAACAAATGTATGGACACCAAGGGGGGGGAAGTGACAGTGGCGGGGGCAGGTGTGATGAATTGGGAGATTGGGATTGACATGTATACACTAATATGTATAAAATGGATAACTAATAAGAACCTGCTGTATACAAAAATAAATAAAATAAAATTCAAAAATTCAAAAAAAATGGTATATAAGGCCACCCCCCCAAAAAAAAAAGAGATCAGGTAAGAGGAACAGATTCATATTTCAGGTCATATTTTAAGTTGAGCATCACAACTTGATCTGAATCCATTTGCACATTGTCCTAGAAAACAAGATAGCTGTCTTTTTCTTTTAATTAATTAATTAATTTATTTATTTTTGGCTGTGTTGGGTCTTCGTTTCTGTGCGAGGGCTTTCTCTAGTTGTGGCGAGCGGGGGCCACTCTTCATCACCGTGCGCAGGCCTCTCACTGTCGCGGCCTCTCTTGTTGCGGAGCACAGGCTCCAGATGCGCAGGCTCAGTAGTTGTGGCTCACGGGCCTAGTTGCTCCGTGGCATGTGGGATCTTCCCAGACCAGGGCTCGAACCCGTGTCCCCTGCATCGGCAGGGAGATTCTCAACCACTGCGCCACCAGGGAAGCCCGAGAGCTGTCTTTTTGCTGTGTCGAATTTTTGATCCATCAGCAGGTCACCTGGCCCATACCACCCAAGAAGCAGGATTTGCTTCTCTTTCCGGTCTTAGTTTTTGAAGAAACCTTTGTTTATAAAAATGTGGTGTGAATTTGTTTTCTCTTTCAGCATGGCCCTCACCATCCCACAGGGCAAACAAAATGTTCCCACCTTCCTGCTTATTTTCTCTGTGTTCCTTCAGAGCATCCAAGATAATAGCAGAGACAGGTTGTTGGACAAATCAGTAGGTTGTCATGAAATAGGCAATATATACAGTTCAAATGGATCAGGGCCATGGAACTAGTTTAAGGCCTCTTGTTATCCTCTGGTGTAGCTCTGTGAAATAATCTCTGACCTTTATACAACTTGGCATCACTGTGTTGATGAGAGGCAACGTGCTGAACAGGGTGAAGAAGCCTACTGGGCCAACCTGACAAGATGGAGAGGCAGCTGAGACACTGCTCCAGCCTCTTCCTCCCCAGAATCTATCACTGAGCAGGCATGCTTCTTTGTTTTCTCTGAACGGCATAACATAAACTTCCTTAAGCTCTGAATTTGCCAAAACCAGTTGGAACTGAGGATATCTGCTAATGGTACCCAAATATTCTATCAGTCAATGGATGATAAACACTAACATTGTAAAGAAGCACCGTTATACCGCCCACATTGGTACTGCATCTTAGATTCTTTCCTATAACAGGGCCTGATGCTCCATGATGCTGACAAGGGGTTGACTCATGACATCTTCCATCTTTAAGCGAGTCACTGTGGACAAGATGCTATATAAGAAATGCTATAAAATACTGGTTTTACTGCTAGTCTGAGTCTCACTTTGTGCTGGCAATGAGATAACAATAACACACTACAAAGGTAAGTGTTACATGAACAACCTTAGTATTAGTAGCCATTATGGGAGAATTAAGAAAGAACCGTCTTTACACTTTAGATACCAGGATGGTGTTCTCGTGTCTGGCAGAAGGAGCATCATAACAGTTATGAATGGAGTTGGCAACTGGTACAGCAGGCACTGTCCAATGGGGATAGAGAAAGTGAGGTGTCAGAAGTGACTTGTTATTCCCAGCATTAACATTTGAGGTGCTGGGGAGTCAGGACTGCAGGGGGAGGGGGTTTCTGGAGGAAAGACCAAGATAGCCAGACAGCAGAGGGTCCCCTTGTGGGGTTTAGCGCAGTGCCTATTCACCAACCAGTATCAAAGTACTTCAATATTTTCACAACTGGTTAAATTGCTGCATCAGCGGACTACCAGTCCTAGTTGTGATAAATCAATGCATATCATGCTTGGTAAACCCAATTGGATCCTTGCTACCGAACACTGTAATCGCTAATAATGGGACTATACCACAGGCATGATCTTGCCAATGACCATTTAATTTCACTAGGAATTTCAGGCATTTTTCAAGGAGATGTGGGATTAAACCAATGAAAACATTCATCACACGGCCATATACTTACAACAGCTGCAAAGATGTACTTCTGGTCTTTTTCTTGTAAAAAGAGCAGCACATCAGTTAGAAGCAGAGCTAGGATATCTTCAAAGGAAAAATATTACTAGTATTAATGAAGCAAGCCACAATTCAAATGCCTTTATTAAAATTCTAATTTCATGTTTAAATAATTTAAATAAACATACTAAAAATAAATACTAACTTTTAGTCTAACTATAAAACCTTTATTAAAATGCCTGTATTATGATAGCTAAAGATACATTTTATAGATAACTCAGTAAGTAAGCTGTGTTTAAGTGCACGCTTGCGTGTGTCACGGTTGGTACAGCTAAATCTCCAGCAAAATGTAATGTTGTAGCCTTCCAAATGGAAGAAAAATATTCAATAAAAAACAAGGTTCTAATAGAATGGAGCAAGCCCTTACCTTTACAGCAAAAAAGTGCTTAATTAAAAATGTTTATGGGCAGCTTCCGCCTTGAATTACTATATATACTAATCTGCTATTTTGTTCCATGTGGATCTGAGGGAAGTGTGAGGTCCTACACCTCCCTTACATGCTGTTCACAAGAACCCACCTTCACTATACCACTAACATTCTAACACAGAGTTACCCAGCTGTTCATTCCACAGAACAGATAAAGAGCAAATGACTTGGAGCAATAGGATCTACAGACTGCGGTTAATATTTTAGTTGTGGTTAATATTCTAAGTATGGTTCACGTTTAGTTGCAACACTGCAAGTTGCTGATCAATAAGTCCTTTGGTCATCTGTTGCAAGCACTACCAAAACTTGATAATCCTTCAGTGGGTAGCAACCTTGGAGTACCTGGAATTTAACCACCTCTTCCTCTCATTGCTTACCTAAGGAAGATACTAAGATATATCAGAAACAAGAAGGTTGGGCCAGTGGTGCTTAACCCTGACTGCAGACTCACCTGGGTGCTTTGAGCATCCCTATGCCTGGGTTTCACCCCCAGACCAATAAAATCAGAACCTCTGGGAGAAGACTTGAGCATCAGTAAAAATTTTAAACTCCAGAGGCCATTCTAGGGTTTTAAATCCAGTGGCCAGTGTTGACAAAGCCTCGGACAAGGTGCTAGCTACAGAATGATTTCTTAAGGATCAGAATAAACTATTTTAGACTCTAACCAGATAAACAGGCAGGTTAATGCCTGATAGCAAACAGCACACCAATGTCCACGTGTATATTTATGCATTACTATGTATATTTATGCATTATATCATTCGGTCCCAAAGATGATGTTTAGAGCTCATTTTTCCCCTCAATGGTCTGAGCTCCTGGCTGGCTTGGCACACAACAGATTCTGAGTGTGTAGGCACATTTTCCAGGATAATATTTCCATGCCAACAATTAGCAGAATTCTCAGGTCCTTTGATTCAAACATCGCAAACTTGAAAACCCATGCAATACATAGGAAGCCTTTTGCTTGAGGCAGCAAACTTCCCCCTAAGGTTTGTAGCGTGGGCCACCTGTGCCTATGGAAGTTTTCATCTTGATCCTACAGGGATCTTTCCACTGACCTAGGGTTTGTGTGTGGGCCTGCATCGCTGAACCAGTTTTCTTTGGAAAATCTGTCCTCTGTTAAATGAATAATGTGTGTGAACAAGAGGGAGAAATTGGTCTGTTAGAGCCACGGTACCTTTGAAACGACCCGTAGCGGTTTTCCAATAAACAAGGCCATCGTATAACAGGGTCCTTTCTTTACTCATCAGTGCCTGCTTCCTAAACACGTGGCCATTTTTAAGCTTGGTATATGTTTTGTTTTCAATCTTATTTAGGATCTCAAGCCATTTTTGTTTTTTCTCATATTCGCTGACTTTTAAATCCACAGCTGCAATCATGTCTTTAATTAAGCAAAGAGCTTTGCATAAGTCTTTCTGTTCTTCAGTGTTTTCTGCATGGGAAAAAGAAAGAACAGGCACCATGAAACAAGCCAGGGCGCTAATAAGGAAGACGTTTTTTCTTTAGTTTTAAGTAAAGTTAAATACATCATCCAAATAGCAAAAATCCCAGAGCAAAAATATTGGATTAACTTCAAATACTCTATCATCACTCAGCACCCCTCCTCCCCAAAAGGATGGTTGAACTGTGTCATGAAGAAGATTTACTTATCAGATACTTCAGCAGTAACACTGTGACAATATGATGTCTGAATTCTAGAGACTGGTCTGACCTTCCTTCCTAGGACAGTGAATGTGTCACATCCCAAGTTAGGCCTTTCTTCCACCTTCCCAGACACAGGTAATTAAGCAAACCCCACGCCTAGCTTCTTAGAACTTAACTGAGCTACAAGCCCAAGCTGGAGTCCTTTCCCAGAAGGGAGCTGCAGGGTGACTTGAATAGACCTCGGACTCATTTGCTTTCCTAGATCCCTCTCTCCCTAAAAAAATAACATTTAAAATTGTAACTTACAACTGCATTAACATAAAGATATTAAAACATTTTTTCAACCTAAAAAAAATGGGACCAAGGCACTGTGCAGAGTAGGTAACTCAGCCACGCTCACGCCAACAGAGTAGACGATCATCGGATCCAGCTGTTACTCTGAAATACTGGCCAAATCTCTTATCTCTAGATTATCTTAAGAAAAACTTCTGGAGAAGTTTCTGCAACAGCCTCCTGGAGCTCTAGATGAAACCAAATTTAGCTATTTTCTATATCTGATTAAAAAAAACACGAATTGATGTTTACTGAGGTGAATGGAACTGAAAGGGAAAGTTTCAGGAGGTCAGAAAATGCTAGGAGAGGAGAAAGAAAAACAACAGAGAAAATAAAAGATTCTCTAAGAGCCTAGAGCAGCAGAAATAAACACACAGAAATAGCAGTGAAATGGAATAAGAACAAGTCCTCCAAAGGGTCTAAACTTTCCAGGCTCTAAATGCCTCAAATAGGTACACGAGGGCTTTGTGAGAAAACCAAGGAATAGATCGTGACACCAATCATTAACAAGGAAGATTTTCTCATTGCCCATGAAAAGAATATACTTCATTTACTTCACTACTTTACTATACCTGCCACCCACCTAAGCAGCACTCCCCACCATGAAAAAAAAAAAAAAGATTCTTCTTTATAAAGAGCATATTTTAAATATAGGAAAGTTGAGTAGAGAAAATCAAAGTTGAATTACAAAGTGACTTAAAGTAAGGCCAAGAAAAGGTTCCGAGTCTTCTGACCTTCAGGAATAAATTACTGTCTTTTAACCGCTTGCAACTCAAAGTGCAGCAGCATTGGCCCCACCCGGGGGTCTTGTTAGAAATGCTTACCTTGGGTTCTACCCCAGACCTACTGAATCGGAGTCTGCATGTAAATGAGATCCCTAGGTGAGGGGTACTCCTAATGAAATTCTAAAAGCACTGCCATAAAGAGTCACATGAACCAATGTTCCCAGCAACTAGAGAGGTTGGAGAAGTCTGACCTAACTAAGGAGGCAGTGTTCGTTCAGCCACTATGACGTCTACGCCTGCAGAGCCGTAAGTCCCACTTCTCATTTCTGACACACAGCAGGCAATCACTGTGACGCATCCTACCTGGAATCTGGCATGGGATGATTCTTGGAGGAGCACTAGCTGGCCTAACACAGTCCGACAGATGTTAGTCTTTGAGTATTGTATTAAACTTAAGAAAGAGAATATAACCATAATATAAACTAAAAGTCTTAATTTTGTTTTCATTCTTTAACTGAGAACAAAATTATGAGGCTTTTCTCTTTCTACTGTGCTTATATTTTATGTTAAATTATAGGAAGCGGGCTTCCCTGGTGGCGCAGTGGTTGAGAGTCCACCTGCTGATGCAGGGGGGGACATGGGTTCGTGCCCCGGTCCAGGATGATCCCACATGCCGCAGAGCGGCTGGGCCCGTAAGCCATGGCCACTGAGCCTGCGCGTCCAGAGCCTGTGTTCCGCAATGGGAGAGGCCACAACAGTGAGAGGCCCGTGTACCACAAAAAAAAAAAAAAAAAATTATAGGAAGCAATACAAATGGGACATAAGGAATGGATGCTACCATTCCTGCCTGAACTTAGGTCCTAATGTAACTAAAAAAAAAAATGGAAAGACCAAATCATGCATTTCTATTCACCGAGACCCCTTCCAAAAAAAGGATGTTAAAAGTTGACTTTTTAGAGTGGGAATTTAAGATCTCATTACCACTTTCATGATCTCCAAGTCAGTTGGTCATAATAAAGATAATAAAAACAGCTCCCACTTATCAAGCACCTTGTTTATACCAGGCTGTGTGCTGGGCACTTTCTGAGACAATCTCACTTAATCCTCACAACAATTCCATAAGATAAAGACTAGTATTCTCATTTGGTAGTGGAGAGAACTGAGGCTCATTTCATTACCTTGCCCAACTAATGAGCGGCAGAGCCAAGTATCTGCAACGGCCATGCAAGTTCACGCAAGGCCAAACCAAAGCCCTTGTTAACAGAAGACGCTACCATCCTAATAATTTACTCACGATCAATAAGCTAGCTTGAGGAACAGGCACTTTTATCTGTCCATTCATTGCACTGTTATATTTATTTATTGATAACCTATTCTGCACTAGGTATTGAATCTAGACCCCTCAAGGAGCTTATAGGCCAGCCATGTGCATTAACAGGTTCTTAAAGGACATCCAGATGGTAGTCCTTGAACATGATGAATTGACAGGGTCAAAAATAGCTCCTTCATAAATCATTCTCAATCTAATAAATCAATGCTGGGAAGGTAATAGGAAGATGAAGAAGAGGTATTAAGGTCTGGATATGGGGAAAATACAGATGGGAAGGGTAGGGTCAAAGTATGAGGAAGTCTACTTGCTTTGGGCTGCTTGGAGGAATTCAGACTATTGGCCAAGTCACATTATGAAAGATAACTTTTCAAAATGGATCCAAATCCTAAGGCTTCACAGTTTTTCCATAATGAAAAATCTTTATGAATCAGGCACCCACAAGCATCTATAGCTGTTTACAACACCTCAGCTATGTTTAAAACTAATGAAAGAGGCAAATGTTTATCCCAGAAGTCATCACTCACCCTTTGTGTACTGCAATATCCTTTCCACCAAGACAGGGTATTTTGTGATGCGCTGAGTGACCAGCAGAATGCATTCTGGAATTCCTCGGCGTCGAGCCAAAAGATTACTATTTCGGAGCTTAAAAAATATATATATATGTATATATTTTTAAATTTTAATATACACAAACACTACCTGTATTTTCTTTTTAGGTAGGAATTTAATAATACAAAGAACCTGCAACAGTATAATTCTATTCAGACATAACATGCTGCATCATTAATTAAAACTTGATACATTGTCATTAAATTGTATACTTTGAAATTAATTTCAATAACCCAACTCTCCAAGATTAAGAAGTTTCAAGTTACACTGATGTACTTAGAGTTAATTCCAAAAATGAGCAGGTTTTAAGACTTATAAGTGCTAAGATTCGTGAATAGCAGAAGTTTTGAAAAATACTCAGAAATCAAAGTCACATTTTGAACATGAGTTTGCAATTAACTGTTTGTTTTTCTAACAGGTTTTCTTCTACATTTGTTATTATTCATCATAGCATTTAAGTTCCCTCTAATCCGGGTAACTTTTTTCTAAATATCTCAAAGCCTTATTTTCAAGTTCTCAACACACACGTATGTTTAAAAAAAAAAAAAAGGAGGAGAATCCAGTAGCATGCTTAAAATGGTAGATAAAAAATTAGAATCTATGAAACTCTAAAGGACAAATTTCTTCAATAAGTAAGTAGGACACCAAAAAATTGGGATGGGAAGCATTCAATGCAAAGGCGATTTAAAAGACATAACCCCCCATGGATAATATATAAACCTTGGTCAGATCCTGATCCAATTTTATGAGCTAATGAGGGAAATTTGATCACTGGCCAGCTGTTTGAAGATATTAAAGAATTATTATGTATTTAAGTGGAATAATGCCACTGTAATTTTTAAAAGATATATTGTTCAGTGATACAAGTTATATATGAAATGATGTGCATCACAGACTTGCTTCAAATTAATCCAGTGGGGGGGGGGTAGGTTCTTTATTTTTACTGTGGTTCTTCTGATTTATAACTTGTCAGGGCATGAAAAGCTTCACAGGATATTACAAAGGTGCTCAGAAGTATGGAGAACATGGCTTCGCAAATATAAATACAATAGTAAGTGATTTGGGAGAAATATTTTACTAACACAGAAAAAGAGGCTTTCTATCTTTGCCACAAACCTATCACTTCCTTCTTCCCTGAAAAACAGTACCTAGATGTGAAACTTCGTTAGATCACCTAAAAAACAAGTATGAACTTCATGCTGGCTTACCATTTTGTAACAGAGTTTTAAAATACTTGCCTTAATAAAATTCTGAAACTTTTTATTCTGCTGGAGTTCTTTAAAGAGGCTAACAGCCTCCTTGTGATGGCTACAGAATTCCCCATATATTTTCTTCATTTTATTTGCATTTTCTTCTGAAAACTGAGAAGAAAAACATTTCAATGATGGTTTATAAATTTAGTCAGTCCTAAACACTAAAAAGAACATGCAATTTTCATATATTTCAGTACATTCTTTGCAAATAAAGAATAAACATCCAGGAATTTCTGACCACAATCACTTCTCTTCCCCAGATACTTTTTAAATTAAAGTAAGAGGAAGTAGTCAAGAGGCAAGAGGAAGACATCAACCTAATGTGATTATATTATATTGAACTAACTCAACTATCAATAGCCCAGTGAAAAACATTTGATATCTTCTATTTTTATGTGTTTATGCAACTTTATAATTTCAATTTATAGTTTTAATACTTTTATAGATTGAAGGGTATGGGGCACATTTGGGGATCCTCAGGAAGGTTGACATTTACATTGGGTAACTGATCATGTCCATGAACTCAGTCTTCATTGGGAATTTAATTTTTGTCATCACAAATGGATCAACAGGCAGGTTATCATTAGCCAAGATGACAGAGAAAGATGAGTAACCAGAAGGCCAACTTATTAACTGATAGACAGAAGTAGAGATGTGGGCTGGATATTTCAATAACCTTGACCTGCAGAAAAATCTCTGTAGAAAAATCTACATGGGAACAACTTAGCATCATATGGTGGTATGGAGAGAATCAGCTGAATAATCTGATGCCAATGCTTCAGACTCTGGTGACACTATGTATACATGTGGGTGCTGAAGATCACTGTAACAGAAACCAGAACACACCTACACCTCCTTAGAAAGTACTTAAAATGTACATCCCTATCTCTGGTCTTTCCAACTTTGCTCACAGTTTTATCTATGCTTGAGGCCAATACATCTTACGAGATGATCCTTAAACCACCAACAATAATATGTAGGTATAAATTTAACAAAACACACACAGGCCTTGTGTGCTGAAAACTACACAATGCTAATGAAAGAAATCAAATAAGATTTAAATAAATATACCATGTTCATAGATTGGAAGACTCAACATAGTAAAGATGTCAATTTCCCCCAAATTAATGTACAGGTTTAATGCAATTCTTATCAAATCTCAGCAAGTGTCTGTACATATAGACAAGATTATTCTAGAATTTATATCAAAAGGTAAAGAAACTAGGATAAAAACAATTTTGGAAAAGAAGAATAAAGTGAAAGAACTCAGTCTAGACAATTTCAAGATTTATTCTATAACTACTGTAATTATGACTATGGAAGGATACACATAGATCAATGGAACAAAATAGGAACCCAAAATGCCCAACAGTTTTTGACAGAAGGCAAAAGTAATTTATTGGAGGAAGGATAGCCCTTTCAACAAATGATATTGGAGCAGCTGAACATCCACAGGTCAAAAAATAATAATAATAACCTTGACCAAAGTCTCATATTTTACACAAAAAGTAACTCCAAATGGATCACAGACCTAAACATAAAACATAAAACTATAAAACTTTTAGAAAAAAAAAAAAAGGAGAAAATCTTTGGGATCTCAGGCTAGACAAAGAGGTCTTAGACTTGAAATCAAAAGCATGATCCTTAAAATATGAGGGAGTCCGGGAAAAACTTTGGCCTGCGTAAGAGGCAAGAGACCATTGTTTCAAGGTGTGCGAGGAGAGGGGATTCGTAGCACTGCCTAAATGAGCTTCAGAGACAGGCGCGAGCCGCGGCTATCAGCGTGGACACCAGAGACGGGCATGAGACGCTAAGGCTGCTGCTGCCGCCACCAAGAAGCCTGTGTGCAAGCACAGGTCACTATCCACACCTCCCCTCCTGGGAGCCTGTGCAGCCCGCCACTGCCAGGGTCCCGTGATCCAGGGACAACTTCCCTGGGAGAACACACGGTGCGCCTCAGGTTGTTGCAACATCACGCTGACCTCTGCTGCTGCAGGCTCGCCCCGCATTCCGTACTCCTCCCTCCCCCCGGCCTGAGTGAGTCAGAGCTCCCGAATCAGCTGCTCCTTTAATTCCCTCCTGTCTGGGCAAAGAACAGACGCCAGAGGGCGACCTACACGCAGAGGAGGGGCCAAATCCGAAGCTGAACCCAGGGAGCCGTGCGAACAAAGGGAAATCTCTCCCAGCAGCCTCAGGAGCAGCGGATTAAATCTCCACAATCAACTGGATGTACCCTGCATCTGTGGAATACCTGAAGAGACAACGAATCATCCCAAATTGAGGAGGTGGACTTTGGGAGCAACTGTAGACATGGGGTTTGCTGTATGGGACTGACTAGATTCTGATTTTTATGTTTACCTTAGTATAGTTTTTAGTGCTTGTTATCATTGGTGGGTTTGTTTATTGGTTTGGTTGCTCTGTTCTTTTTTTTAAATTACTTTTTAAATTTTTTTATTTTAATAACTTTTTTTTCTTTCTTGCTTGCTTTTTTTCCTCCCTTTTCTTCTGAACCGTGTGGCTGACAGGGTCTTCGTGCTCTGGCTGGATGTCAGGCCTGAGCATCTGAGGTGGGAGAGCTGAGTTCAGGACACTGGACCACCAGAGACCTCCCAGCCCCACGTAATATCAATCGGCGAGAGATCTCCCAGAGATCTCGATCTCAATGCTAAGACCCAGCTCCACTCAACGACCAGCAAGCTCCAGTGCTGGACACCCCATGCCAAACAACTAGTAAGACAGGAACACAACCCCACCCATTAGCAGAAAGGCTGCCTAAAATCATAAGTTCACAGACACCCCAAAACACACCACCAGATACGGTCCTGTCCACCAGAAAGACAAGATCCAGCCTCACCCACCAGAACACAGGCACCAGTCCCCTCCACCAGGAAGCCTACACAACCCACTGAACCAACCTTACCCACTGGGGGCAGACACCAAAAACAATAGGAACTACGAAACTGCAGCCTGCAAAAATGAGACCCCCACAAAGAAAGTTAAGCAAAATGAGAAGACAGAGAAATACACAGCAGATGAAGGAGCAAAGTAAAACCTCACCAGACCAAACAAATGAAGAGGAAATAGGCAGTCTACCTGAAAAAGAATTCAGAGTAATGATAGTAAAGATGATCCAAAATCTTGGAAATAGAATGGAGAAAATACAAGAAATACTTAACAAGGGCCTAGAAGAACTAGAGAGCAAACAAACAATGATGAATAATACAATAAATGAAATTAAAAATTCTCTAGAAGGAATCAATAGCAGAATAACTGAGGCAGAAGAACGGATAAGTGACATGGAAGATAAAATAGTGGAAATAACTACCGCACAGCAGAATAAAGAAAAAAGAATGAAAAGAACTGAGGATAGTCTCAGAGACCTCTGGGACAACATCAAATGCACCAACATTTGAATTAGAGGGGTCCCAGAAGAAGAAGAGAAAAAGAAAGGGACTGAGAAAATATTTCAAGAGATTATAGTTGAAAATTTCCCTAACATGGGAAAGGAAATAGTCAATCAAGTCCAGGAAGCACAGAGAGTCCCATACAGGATAAATCCAAGGAGAAACACCTTGAGACACATATTAATCAAACTATCAAAAATTAAACACAAAGAAAAAAATATTAAAAGCAGCAAGGGAAAAGCAACAAATAACATACAAGGGAACCCCCATAAGGTTAATAGCTGATCTTTCAGCAGAAACTCTGCAGGCCAGAAGGGAGTGGCAGGACATATTGAAAGTGATTAAAGGGAAAAACCTACAACCAAGATTACCCAGCAAGGATCTCATTCAGATTCGACGGGGAAATTAAAACCTTTACAGACAAGCAAAAGCTAAGAGAAATCAGCACCACCAAACCAGCTTTACAATAAATGCTAAAGGAACTTCTCTAGGCAGGAAACACAAGGGAAGAAAAAGACCTACAATAACAAACCCAAAACAATTAAGAAAATGGTAATAGGAACATACATATCGATAACTACGTTAAATGTAAATGGATTAAATGCCCCAACCAAAAGACATAGACCGGCTGAATGGATACAAAAACAAGACCCATATATATGCTGTCTACAAGAGACCCACTTCAGACCTAGGGACACATACAGACTGAAAGTGAGGGGATGGAAAAAGATATTCCATGCAAATAGAAATCAAAAGAAGGCTGAAGTAGCAATTTTCATATCAGACAAAATATACTTTAAAATAAAGACTATTACAAGAGTCAAAAAAGGACACTACATAATGATCAAGGGATCCATCCAAGACGAAGATATAACAATTTTAAATACTTATGCACCCACCATAGGAGCACCTCAATACATAAGGCAAATGCTAAAAGCCAAAAAAGGGAAAATTGACAGTAACACAGTCATAATAGGGGACTTTAACACCCCACTTTCACCAATGGACAGATCATCCAAAATGAAAATAAATAAGGAAACAGAAGCTTTAAATGACACATTAAACAAGATGGACATATTCATATTTAAGGACATTCCATCCAAAAACAACAGAATACACTTTCTTCTCAAGTGCTCATGGAACATTCTCCAGGATAGATCATATCTTGGGTCACAAATCAAGCCTTGGTAAATTTAAGAAAATTGAAATCGTATCAAGTATCTTTTCTGACCACAACGCTATGAGACTAGATATCAATTACAGGAAAAAAAACCGTAAAAAATACAAACACATGGAGGCTAAACAATACACTACTTAATAACCGAGAGATCACTGAAGAAATCAAAGAGGAAATCAAAAAGTACCTAGAAACAAATGACAATGAAAACACGACAACCCAGAATCTATAGGATGCAGCAAAAACAGTTCTAAGAGGGAAGTTTATAGCAATACAATCCTACTTCAAGAAACAAGAAACATCTCAAATAAACAACCTAACCTTACACCTAAAGCAATTAGAGAAAGAACAAAAAAAAACCCCCAAAATTGGCAGAAGGAAAGAAATCATAAAAATCAGATCAGAAATAAATGAAAAAGAAATGAAGGAAACAATAGCAAAGATCAATAAGAGTAAAAGCTGGTTCTTTGAGAGGATAAACAAAATTGATAAACCATTAGCCAGACTCATCAAGAAAAAAAGGGAAA